ACTTTGGAATTGTGAAAAACAAACAAACAAACAAACAAACAAACAAACAAACAAAAAACAACCATCCAAGCGGTTTGGCATTTTTCATGCAAGCGCTTCTGGGTAGGGAGCGAGTTGGTATTTTGTATTCTTCCCTAATGGAGTCTTTTAGGGTAGGAAATGCCTCAACTCCTTTAGGCAGTAACTTTCCTTTCCTCGCTCCCACAGCAACCTGCACTTTCAGCCTAAACGGCTAGACTGTGTCCCTTGAACTGCCTTCATCTCCACCCTACTTTCAGTTTGTCCTGGATGGATGTTCCCCAAGACCCACCTCTTTCCAAAACAGGGCTCTGTTAGCACACCGCCAGGGAGAGGCGAGAGTGTTTTCTGACTCTTTCTGCATAATTTCTATAGCTGTCAAAGGGGAGTTGGAACCAATCACCCCCCTGCCCACCCAGAGCAGTAAACTTCACTTTGATGTCCTTCTGCACTGTACAGATACACTGAGTGACCGACAGTGAAACACATGTCTTTAAGGCACACATTTCAGGAGAACACAGCTGTATTGTGGAACACGCTCAGTGTCTAAGTAAACCATCTTTGATACACAGTGGTATCCACAGACCTCTAACCCACAAAGGACAAACTGCAATGTTAAATAGGCTTACCTGGCGGGTTTGGTTCCAGCAGGTCTGGTCCAATCTAGCTACTCTTCTTTAGTTTAGCCTTCTCTAGGTGGATCCAGTTCACGGATCCTCACTTTATTTCCTAGACTAGATGAATATTTACATAGGAATCGCCAGACAGGATCAGAACTATGGTCTGTCTAGTCCAGACTCTCATCTCTAACAGTGACCTACAGCATATGCTTCAAAGGAAAACACATGAAACCCCACAGTTGGCAGATGTATTTCTTGCTATCTTTCTATATAACATGATGGCCTTATGCAATCCTCTTGACGTTAGGATGACCTGTCCAGGCAACACTGCATTCTCCCAACATCTGTAGCTCAGATCAGTCCAGACAAAAATAACTACCTTATAAATGTCTTTCATTCAAAATCAACTCAACCAGCACCAAGAAAATCAGCTTCTTGAGTGTCTTGAGTATGTAAATTTTCTAGCAATTAATGTAATTCAATAAACGTATCACAGGGCCGCTCGGGTCAGGAGAGAGGTGTGTGTGAGAAGAGCTACAAGGAGAAGATCCACCTGAAGCGTCACGAGACTCTCCACTTCTGGAGAAAGCCGTTCAAATGCAGGAAGCACTTCCTGCAGACATGGGTACTGATGATGCACCAAAGGACCCACACAGGTGAGAAGCCCGACAGCTGCGGCCAGTGCACCAAGAGCTTCAGCCAGCTCTCCAACTTCTTCTGGCACCGGCGCATCCACACCAGTGAGCAGCCCTTTCGCGGGCCCCCAGGGTCAGCGGTGCTTCGGCCTCTGCTCCGGCCTCGCCACTCACCAGAAGATGCACACCAGGGAAGCCCTGCCTGTGCTGAGCACCAGGAAGGCCATTGCAGAGGGTTAGAGGAGAGGAGACTGTGGCCAAGTGAAACCCCTTGTCCTACCATGGAGATAGGCACTCTGGTCACACTGTGTGTGTGTGAATGGCTTACAGAGGGTGTAAATGACTCATGTGTGTGACTAACATGTCACAATCATATTGTTATTTATTTATTATTTGTATTGTGGTAGCTCCTAGGATCCACAGTCACAGACCCCATTGTGCCAGGCGTTGTGCAGACGCAGAACAAAAAGACCCGCAGAGCTGACGAGCAACAGGTATTCTCCCTAAGGCGCTTAGGTGGCCCCCATCCCTGTCCTATTGGAGCACCTCACAACTCACAATGTTTATCCTCACAGTGCCCCCATGAGGTTGGGAAGTGCTATTGTCCCCGTTCTGTAGATCTGAGGGCACAGAGTCGGTGACTTGCCCTAAGCCATCCGTGGAATTTGTGCCTGAGTAGGGACCTGAACATGGGTCTCTCGAATCACACCTGGTCCACTGGGCCATCCTGCCTCTTAGAGAGGACTCACAAGCACATCTGTAGAAGATGTTACAGCTGGTTATAAGCAACTTGTTGACCTGTTGGACTCTTTTAACAATTGATGACCCATTTTTTCAAACCTCTTTTAATCATTTATTAACACATTTTATAAACTGTTGGTAAATGGAACTTCAGCATAAAGCATAAGCAACTTTCTCGTAATTGTGTATGTAGATTTAAATAAGGCTTGAGGAGTGAAAACTGCTATGACAGAGGCCGAGAGAAACCAGCCTGATCTGCACAGACATGCCAAACCTGCCATCCCCTTCAGTCTCCACCAGGAATTTCACATCAGCAGCAGACAAGGATTTTGGTTGGGTTCATGAGTGGGTTTCTCCATTTGTGGGGTGAAGGGTGTCCCATGATGTGCAGCTGACAGGGCATAAAATCCTCTCCTAATGTTGGTTTTCCATGCAAGCAATTGCTGGCATTGTCACAAGGGTGTAATGGGATTGCATCTGTGAGGGGATGGTGTCCAGGAGGCAAACTGTCTGCTAACAAAACTGAGAATCAATGACGGAGCAGGCTCAGGTGAGCTGGACTTCTAGGTGAAAGGAGGAGTTGCGTATGGAAGAACCTTGGCAAAGAGGAGTAGAGACCCTGGTATCACAGATCCTGGGTAGCACTAAGTAGGGGACTTATTCCCTTATTGCAGGCCAGTGTATCAAACCTGAATGAAGTGTGGTTGCTGGACTAAAGGGAGCTGCGTGGCAACACTGGCGGAGCGATTGAGGATTGAGTCTAATCATGCAACAATTTGTAGTTCAGTTTTGAAGAAGAACCAGTGAGGTCTGAATTATGACTTTTTCTCCTATAGTTTCCTGTATGTAAATATTTCCTTCTGAACTAATGTAAATTGCCTCTCTCATTATTGGATCCATTTGGTTGATTTAATCTAGAGCTCTGAGTGTCTAGAATAGTCATAAAACTTCTTTCCAAATACCCTCTAGTGTTGTAATTAGAATTCCTTTATAGTTATGAATGTTCAGAGGGTCTAATCTCACAGTCAGCCACCTTCATAAGAACATAAGAATGGCCATACTGGGTCACACCAAGGGTCCATCTAGCCCAATATCCTGTCTTCCGACAGTGGCCAGTGCCAGGTGCCCCCGAGGGAATGAACAGAACAGGTAATCATCAAGTGATCCATCCCCTGTCGCCCATTCCCAGCTTCTGGCAAAGAAGTTATGTGGTACTCTGTTACATCTAATATGAGAGGGTCAAGAAGACAGCTCTTGCCCTCAGTAATATCCAGGCCAAGCTATGGGTTCAGTGGGTAGTTCAAACACATTTCAGATTGCTCATTAGCAAAGCCACTACTCGTTTTGGTAGGGAGGCTGTTGTGAAACACTTGGTTATGGAATCAGGATATGGAGATCATGTCACCCATCCCACCTCCCTACCACTGGAGGATTGTTTCCCAGGGTACATAGTGTGACAAAGTTCCTCCTCTACCTTGGTGGGTCCTGCACTTATTGGCAGATTTTCTCGCCTCACAGATTCACCATGTGGGTTGGGAAACAGCCCAGAGACCTTCCCCTCTGGTAGAAGCCACAGTCCAGGTCAATTCCTCCTGTGTCTGATCAGGAGTTGGGAGATTTTGGGGGAACCCGGGCCCGCCCTCTACTCCGGGTTCCAGCCCAGGGCCCTGTGGACGGCAGCTGTTTAGAGTGCCTCCTGGTACAGCTGCGCAACAGCTACAACTCCCTGGGCTACTTCCCCATAGCCTCCTCCCAACACCTTCTTTATCCTCACCACAGGACCTTCCTCCTGGTGTCTGATAATGCTTGTACTCCTCAGTCTTCCAGCAATACACCTTCCCACTCTCAGCTCCTCGTGCCTCTTGCTCCCAGCTCCTCGCATGCACACCACAAACTGAAGTGAGGTCCTTTTTAAACTCAGGTGCCCTGATTAGCTAGCCTGTCCTAATTGATTCTAGCAGTTTCTTAATTGGCTCCAGGTGTCTTAATTATCCTGCCTGTCTTAATTGGTTCTAGCAGGTTCCTGATTACTCTAGTGCAGCCCCTGCTCTGGTCACTCAGGGAACAGAAAACTACTCATCCAGTGCCCAGTATATTTGCCCTCTACCAGACTCCTGTACCCCACTGGTCTGGGTCTGTCACAATAGTTTTAGCTACTAGATTGTCCTCAGGTCTCTGGCTTCACTGCAGGCTCAGGCAAAGGTGCCAGAAAGGAGCATGAGTCCTTATTTCAAGCAAATGCTGTGACTTGAAAATGAAACAAAACAAAGGGGTCTGGGGCTGGCGTCCAAAGGCATTGCATCACGCAATGGGGACTTGGTAGTACTTCTCTCTCTGGCAATGGAGAGACTAGTACGCTGCATTCAACCCTGGGCACCGTGGTACCTGAATGATGTTGATCCAATAGAAAGAATATGAAGAGGTGCAACCAAAATGATTTGAAGGCAGGAATCATCTCAAGGAAAGAACTAAGCATGCATCCAGCTAGGATGTGTTTGTGCTGTGCCTAGAACACAAGGACCCTGAG